TAGAACGTTCAGGGGAAGAGAATCACCGCCGGTGAAGTGCTCCGAGTTTGCTCATTGATTTAGCGATAGAAGATGAAGCCTTCAACTTCATAAAAATGTATAAAAACGCTACAAAAGTGGACCAGAATAAAACACTTCTGCGTCTGTCAACAATATGCAAATGCAGCAAGGAACGAGTCTCCGCTGATGTCAATTTAGGGAGCGCTGTTTTTCCTGCGCTTCTCCACATTACAAGATACTGGTCTGCAAGGCGACATTTCTAAGTGTCCTTTGTAAGATTGTTTTTTAAACAATTTCTTACATGTAGCTGAGTAAACAGAAAAATAAACAGTTTCGCTTTTTCACAACAACCAATAAATAAGCTTTTGTTATTATTACAGTGAAATAATTCATTAAATATGACAGGGCGAGGCTAGCTTGTGTCGAGGACTCTGTGACACCATGGCTCCGGCCGCTCTGATCATACAGGTTTGGTTTTTAAGCAGCGATGTGAAGGAGCCGCCTTTCACTATTTCACTATTTTTAACAAGCTACAAGTCGTTTAACTAACTAACTTAATCTTACTTATCAAACAAAACATTGATTCACTAGCTTTTCTTAATGGTATTACTGTAGTAAAATATAGCCTAAGGTGGATATAGCGTTTTGCAAAATAATAATAATAGTAAAAAGTTATCTTTTTGTTATCTTGTGTACATTCAGGCCAAATCTAACTCAGAATCTTATTATTATTAATCAATCTTTGTATATATTCTTTCATATATTTATGATGTATAGTTTTTTTTTAACCCAATTTAAGATGTTTGACAATGTAAAGATAAATATGTTGCATTTTGGCATGATTTTTGACTTATTTATGGACATAAAGTTAAATTAAAAATATCCTGGATTTGTAAATCCAGGCCTTCACTGAGCTCAAGTAATAGTTTAATGTACAAAAATTGAATGTACTTGACTGTTGATGTCTTAAATAATAATGTCAAACAACCAACATTTTTTCAAAATGGATATATCTGGTTTTGCAATGAAACTCTTAATTTGTAGTATATATTATATTTAGAATAGTTTGATATCATAATTATACACAATTTAATATTTCACACGAGGCAATTCTGAAGTTGAATCATGTGTCAAATAAATGGGATATACGTACATAAACAGGTGGTTCCTTGTTGAGGAAAAACACACTTGGGATGATAACTCGAATCTGATCATTGGTGCAAATGACGGTCTCGTTGAGTTCTAGATGAAAAGAGAGAGAAAATAAGTTTAAATAGTGCTGTGTTAAAAATAAACATTTTTAAATGATAAATTACTGCAACATTTGATCATTCACAGCAATGATCTCAAATTCCTGGAGGGCCGAAGCTCTGCATAGCTTAGCTCCAACCACCTCTAACTCACACATGAATAATAGTCTCTAGTAGTCTTGATTATTTGGATCAGCTGTGGTTGATTAGGGTTGGAGCAAAACTGTGCAGAGCTGCGGCTCTCCAGGAATCAAGTTTAAGACCTATGATTTACAGGATATATACAGGATTTAGAGAGTGAAATTCAATACATTTTAAGACATTTTTAAAGACTCTTTCTATACACGTTATGACCTCATCAAAACCTCACTTTAGGTTGGCGACATTTTAACTTATGGTATAATGCAACACAAAATAATTTATTTACCCGACTACCCATATAATGCAGAGAAGAAAGAGAACTACAAAACAATGATCAGAGCAGTATAAAAAAATATATGTGGGGCTTTAGCAAAATCTCTAATGTTTTTATCTGCTCTATCTAATGGCAACAATTGCACTTTCTATATTCAAAAAGGCGGCAACACTAAAGCTCCAAAAATGCAAATTTATTAAATTAAAAAGGCTGACACAAAGCGTGAAACGTTTCGAGCACACAGCTCTTCATCAGACACTGTTCATCACAGTAAGTTGCTTCTTTTTGTACACTTCCGGATCACATGATCTCCTATTATCTCAAAAATAAGACAAAACAAAAAATAAAATGCACAATTATAAATTATGCAGCTTAGATAATCAAAGCGAAAACACAAAAACAAACCATAATATTGCATCACAAACGATAGAAAACAGAATATAACAAGGAAATACAACAAAATATAGCCAAAAAACCTTTAACCAAACACCTAATTAAACATTAAAGAATTATTAAAGAAAAGGACGAATGTCAAACTCCTCACTTAAACTATTTGGAGACGATGTATCTAGAGTGAAAATTCAAAAGGCTTCACATTGTAACAGCAATTTGTATGGAACATCTAATATTCGGAATGTGTTGGATCTAAAACCTGCTCCGCATGTTTTAAGTACTATACCACACGGTAATTTTAAATCTGGGAATTGTTTACAATGTAGGTGAGGCAGTGGCGCAGTAGGTAGTGCTGTCGCCTCACAGCAAGAAGGTCGCTGGTTCGAACCCTGGCTCCCTGCCTTCACGTGGGTTTCCTCCGAGTGCTCTGGTTTCCCCCACAGTCCAGAGACATGTGGTACAGGTGACTTGGGTAGGCTAAATTGTCCGTAGTGTGTGTGTGTGAATGTGTGTGTGAATGTGTGTGTGGATGTTTCCCAGAGATGGGTTGCGGCTGGAAGGGCATGCGCTGCGTAAAAAACTTGCTGGATATGTTGGCGGTTCACTCTGCTGTGGCGACGCCGGATTAATAAAGGGACTAAGCCGACAAGAAAACGAATGAATGAATGTTTACAATGTAACTTCACATACAAAACGTCAACTTTTACACATCCTCATACAGCCAAAAAGTTCCTCAAGGCACTATTTAGTGCAAGACCGCTAATGTAATCTATATGTTGCAGTGCCCGTGTGGTTTATGTTCTGTAGATAAGACGAGTAGACCTTTAAAAATGTGCATTTCTGAACATCGATGTGTTATTCCACATCATGATCCTAGAAGTCCTGTTGAGCAGAATTTCTGTTACGAGACATTCTGTCTCCACTCTACAATACATAGGGATTGAAGTTGTGAAGTGTCCACATCGGGGGGAGATCTATACAAATTGCAACCTGAAGCCTTTTGGATTTTCCCTCTAAACACATCGTCTCCAAAAGGTTTAAATGCGGAGTTTGACATTCGTCCTTTTCTTTAATAATTCATTCATTCGTTTTCTTGTAAGCTTATTCCCTTTAATTATCCGGGGTCGCCACAGCGGAATGAACTGCCAACTTATCCAGCGTTTTTACGCAGCGGATGCCCTTCCAGCCACAACACATCTCTGGGAAACACACACCCACACACACACACACACACACACAATTAAGCCTACCCAATTACTGCATGTCTTTGGACTGTGGGGGAAACCGGAGCACCCGGAAGAAACCAACGCGAACGCAGGGAGAACATGCAAACTCCACACAGAAACCCTAACTGAGCCGAGGTTCGAACCAGTAACCCAGCAACCTTCTTGCTGTGAGGCGACAGCACTGCGCCACTGCATCGGCTCTTTAATAATTCTTTAATGTTTAATTAGGTGTTTGGGTAACGGGTATTTTTTGTTGTATATTTTGTTGTATTTCCTTGTGATATTCTGTTTTCTATCGTTTGTGATGTAATATTTTGGTTTGTTCTTGTGTTTTCGCTTTGATTATCTAAGCTGTATAATTTATAATTGTGTATTTTTTTGTTGTGAGATAATAGGAGATCATGTGATCCGGAAGTGTACAAAGAGGAGCACATTACTGTGATAAACACTGTCTGATGAGGAGCCGTGTGCTCGAAACGTTACACGCTTTGTGTCAGCCCTTTTAATTTAATAAATTAGCATTTTTGGAGCTTTGGTGTCGCTCCCTTTTAAAATATATCATTTGGACTTTTTGCATTTGGCTGATCACCCAGGTAAAAGTGATGTGCGTGCTTTGTACATTTTAACAATTGCACTTTCATAATGACCCACACAAATATTCTACTTGCATTAGTAGACCTAAAGTCGATTGAATTTAAATGAATGATTTAAAAACGTAACTAGTTGCATTGCTATTTTTTATGGTAATGCTTTACGTTACTTTTCAGTTACTATTGCGTTACTTTTTCTGAGCTGGCTGAGGCTTGATCTGTTTCAGAACTTGCAGGATATTTTTCTTTTCTTTTTTTAATAAAGGAGCTCTGCAATTAACAGTGTGCTGTATAGCCTACACCTTCATTTACTTAAAAAAAAATCTAAAAAATAATGATGTAGGATAATGTTATCTTCTGAGAACTTCCTGACCCCAGAGCTGTACATGCCATATATAAAGATGAATGTTTAAAGCAATGTGTTTGCTATAATCCCCTTTTCCCTTTCTTTGATCCGTTCAGAATAATGAGAATACTTCCATCGCAGAAATGTAAGGCTCTGCAATGTTTCTGTCTGTTCCTGCATTCTCTCATTGAGTGCAGGATTCAATGTGACTACGGTCATTTCAATTCAGCTATTTATTTTTTTTAAAGCTAATTAATTACACTAAAAAAATAACTCGAATTACAGTGTTTAAAACGTAACTCAATTATATTTCCTTAATTTTGAAAACTAATGCATTACTTTACTTGTTACTTAGAATTAGAGTTTCCAGCTTTCTTCAAAATATCCGTTTTGTGTGTTTAACAGAGGAAAGAAACTCCTAAAGGTTTGAAACCTGTAAAGGGTAATAAATATATCATTTAAATCAGGGTATTCGCGCGGTCTTAACAAGTATTAAACGCTGATAAATTAATTTAGAAAGATTTAATGCCCTTAAAAAGTATTAAAAAGTCTTAAATGCTGCTTTACAAGGTATTAAATTCTGTGTAATTGTTGTGTGATGACGTTTACCTTAATTTAATCTGTGAATATTGAGATGTTAGTTTATGAAGTTGATAAAATCCTGCAAGATTTGACGTCACGCTGTTTTGTTTACTGCAGTCACCAAGGCTGAAACAGTTGTCATTTAAGGGGTAGTTCACTCAAAAATGTACATGTACTCATTATTTACTCACCCGCAAGTGGTTCCAAACCTTGAAAACAAAGAAGATATTTGAAGAAATAAGCTGGAAACCTGTAAACACTGATTTTCATAGTAGGACAAACAAATACTATGGAAGTCAATGGTTACAGGTTTCCAGCTTTCTTCAAAATATCCGTTTTGAGTGTTTAACAGAGAAAAGAAACTCCTAAAGGTTTGAAACCTGTAAAGGGTAATAAATATATCATTTAAATCAGTGTATTCGCACGGTCTTAACAAGTATTAAACGCTGATAAATTAATTTAGAAAGATTTAATGCCCTTAAAAAGTCTTAAATGCTGCTTTACAAGGTATTCAATTCTGTGTAATTGTTGTATGATGACGTTTACCTTAATTTAATCTGTGAATATTGATATGTTCGTTTATGAAGTCGATAAAATCCTGCAAGTTTTGACGTCACGCTGCAGTAACCAAGGCTGAAATAGTTGTAATTTAGGGGTTTGTTCACTAAAAAATTAAAATGTACTCATTATTTACTCACCCTCAAATGGATCCAACCCTTTATTAGCTTCTTTCTTCTGTTCAAAACACAAGACGTTATTTTAAAGAAAGTTTAAAACCTGTAACTACTGATTTTTAAAGTAGGACAAACAAACACTATGGAAGTCAATGGTTACAGGTTTTCAGCGTTCTTCAAAAAACCTGTTTTGTGTCTTTAACAGAAGAATAAAACCCATAAAGGTTTGAAACATGTAAAGTGTGAGTAAATGATGGCAAAATTTTCAATTCACAATGAATTATTGCTTTAATAAATATATCATTTAAATCAGGGGGTCTTAACAAGTATTAAACGCACAAAAACACACAAAACAAATACTTTGAAGAAAGTAGAAAACCTGTAACCATTGACCTTCATAGTATTTGTTTGTCCTACTATGAACATCAATGTTTACAGGTTTAAGCTTTCTTTAAAATATCTTCTTGTGTTTACAACAGAAGAAAGGAGCTCCTAAAAGTTTGGAACCACTTGAGGGTGAGTAAATAATGAGTACATTTGAATTTTTGGGTGAACTAACCCTTTAATTACTGATATTTCAGACACAATTCAGTGTCAAAAACAACACCATTCAGAATATCAACTGCAGCATGCAATGGCAGATGCTAAAAGCTCTTGTCTTACTCCAATTTTCCAACATGAATATTCCAAATTCTGAATTATATATGCACATAAAAATTGAATTTGGCATTTGAATATTCCTCTCTACACATCTAAAATCAACTTACCCTCTTCTCCAATCTGCACAGCAAAGCTTTCCATCCACATCGAGAACAAAACCCACGTCAGCGCCAGAGTAACAGGTGTCATCCTCAAAACCGACTGCATTTCTGTCTTCTCCTCTCCCTTTCCACCAAACCTTCTCGCTTATCACCTCGACTAGCTGTCAGAGCCAGACGTAGTGCTAGCGCTCTCTCCAGCCCTCCGAAACACAGCTCTAATGAAGTGGGAACCTCCAGTTGCTTTGGAGCACCAGCTTGAATGATGTCCACGCCAACAATGAGATTCCACACATGAATAGGACAAGCTGGGGGGAGTCCAAGGTAACACCGACCAACTAGATTTCAGGCAAAAGCTGAACTGAGAAAGAAAAAAAAAAATTGACAACCCACTTAGCAGACACCGCACTGTATGTCTCAGTGCGTTGGTCGACAAGGAGTTTGTTTGTCATGTAAAGGGAATGGAGGTACCGGGGTGGTGTCTTGTTTTATCTCACTCTTTTGTCTGTGGGTTTTTAAAGGGCATGGAGAGCGCTTTACGGTTTCGGGAACCCCAACGACTTGCTTGAAAAGAAATCCCGTCACACTGAGTCAAGGGCAGTTCACTGACACCTTCGCCAAGGAGTTGATGCCTTTAGGACTGTTTGGACAGGGGAAGAGGTCTGTGTGTTTTCAAGCCAGATGCACTCAAAAACTGATTTTTGCAGCTTGTTTAAACTACTTATATAAAATGAGCTGAAACAACACAATTCTTGAGACTTTTAGGGGACAACTTAATTGCTTTGTTTAATCCACTCAAAAGAACATAAAAAGATATTTTGAAAAATGTTGAAAAACTCACCAGACATTGTAGGAAAAACTAAAACTACGCAAGTCAATAGCAATGTTTCCATCCACCTTATTTCATGCACAAACAATTTATTTGAAATGAGCTGAAACAACACAATTCTTGAGCTTTTTTGGGACTACTTAATTGTTTTACGTTCAGTCCACTTAAATTTGTTGAAACTTAATCAAACTTAAATGAATTGTGTGGAACTCTGCATTTTTTACATTGTGATGCCAATGAAATCAATGCTTAGCTAGGTTAATAATTTTATTGAAATTATTAGTCAGACAAGCATTTAAAGGGAATGATCATGCAATCATTTGTTTGCCCTTGACTTTTTCCCCCCCAAAAAAAAACAGTTTTGAGAGAAAGATATTTTGAAGAATGTTGGAAAACTATAACCATTAATATATGTATTAGGAAAAACAAAAACTATAGCAGTCAATATTTCCATTCACCTATTTTTTATGCACATTGTTCAAACGACTTATATAAAATGAGCTGAAACAAAACAATACTTGTAATTTTTTGGGGGGCGGGGAACAGTTGGAAAACTGTAACCATTGACATACATAGTAGAAATAACTAAATCTACTCAAGTCAATAGCAATGTTTCCATCCACCTATTTTTATGCACATTTTTTAAACGACTTATATAAAATGAGCTGAAACAACACATTTCTTGAGATTATTTGGGGGGCAACTTAACTAATTGATGTTCAATCCACTTAAATTTGCTGTTAACTTAATCAAACCTAAATGAATTGTGTGTAAAGTTGCATTTTTTACAGTGTACAGTGACTTGCATAGTTTTTGTTTTTCCTAATATGTATGTCAGTGGTTACAGTTTTCCAACATTCTTCAAAATATCTTCTTTTATGAACTCAAACTTCAGTCAAGAGTAAGCAAAGGAGAGCAGAATAGTCTGTGAACAGTCCCTTTAAATGCTTATCTGAATAATATATTTCTTGAAATTATTCAATTATCCAAGCATTAATTTCACCAAGATCATGCTGTTTCCACACAATTTATTCACATTTTCACAACTCCAAATCGATTAAGTTAAAAAATTTAATTGAATTAAACATAAACTAATTAAGTTATTTTGAAGAATTGTGTTGTTTTTGCTCATTTTATATAAATAGTTTGATAAAAGTAATGTGCATAAATTTAGGTGGATGGAAACATTGCTATTGACTTGCGTAGTATTTATTTATTTTTCCTACTTTGTATGTCGGTTTTTTTAAACATCTGAACGTTGTTTTGTCTTCAAGTTATTTATAGGAATCAAGACCTACAGTGGCTTCTTCTACTACAGCCAAATTCAATTTTTATTTTGAGTTACAAAAAAAGAAGTAAGGATTTTGTTCTCTTTAACTCACAAATGTTTTATGCTATATTTCAGTTTTGCTCACAAGTCTAATTTGCATCTATGGATGTAAACATAGCTAACGGTTACAGGTTTCCAACATACTTCAAAATATCTTCTTTTGTGTTCAACAGTGCAAAAAACTTCAAACTGATTCGGAACAAACGGAGGATTAATAAATCATATTCATTTTGCAATTAATTATCTATTTTACCAACATATAACCATTGCAACATGCACACCAGGGGCCTCATGTACGAAGACTTGCGTGGAAATCTTACTAAAACATTGCGTACGCACAAAGCTGTAAATGTGCGTACGCATAAAAAAATTCAGATGTATGAAACACTGCGTACGCCGAATCTCACGCATATTCTTTTGTACATCTGAATGAACGTGAAACTGAGCGCAACATGCACGAGCACAAAACCCCTCCCTGCCACCTCCCCCGTATGAATATGCTAATGACTATGCTAATGGCAAAACCCAACGAAAAAGCAATGACAAAATCAAGCAAAAAGAGAAACTTTGAACAGAATGTGAATTGGAGGTGCTGCTTTCGGAGGTAGACCGGAGAAAAGCGGTGTTATTTGCAAGTTTGTTCTCCGGGATTAACAACAAAAGAAAAAAATAGAGTGGGAGAGTTTAGCTGATACAGTTAACACAGTTGGGTCTGAACATCGCACTGAGTGCATTAAAAAAAGAAATAGTGTGGTTTATATCTGTAAAATGTTACAGCACCCTTAGCAGTCTCAGTGGCGCAGCTCGTAAGACGCATGTGATCATGTATTGATACGTTCGAGCATGAACTCGGCTCGAATCTAGCGACTGATGAACTCTTTCTTCTTTTTTCCCCCGCTACATATCAGATTTTGCCCACTATTTATCACGAGAAAGACAAGTAGGAATCATTAATAAGTTTGTGCATCATATTTTATTTGCACATTTATTGACTGGAAATGTTTCTGATTCACGCATGCAAATTCATCTTCAGATAGTGTCTTTATAGCAATCTGCGTGCGGTAGATCGCTCAGATTACATTGGGAAAACAGGCGACCGCTGCAAATTGTGCTTTAATGTTTAGCTGGTCAAATGTATGGTATGGAAACCTTATATACCTGCTGAACCCGTCTCATACAGCTGCCATTGCAAGGCTCAGACACTTTGTAGAGAGGAATTTAACACAACTGCCTCTAGGAGTCGCCAATGGAAATAAAACAGACACGCACAAAAAATGTGCATACGCCTGCCAGAAAGCTGCCGTGAAGCCGCGCACAATCCCACGTTCAGTTCATTGTTAGTAAATCCAAACGTGAGCGATTCTGAGCGTGAAACCTGGCGTACGCAAAGTTTTTGTGCGTACGCAGCGTTGATACATGAGGCCCCAGGCCCGTAGCCAGCCTGGTGAAAGGGGTGGTTCTTTTTTTCTTCCTCAAAATGGGGTGGAGCTTTTTGCGGTTATAGGCCTCATTTAGGCTACCACTTAATAATGAGATTTAATTACTGCATTTTTAGTGAGATTTTAAGCACTATTTTAGCTGAAATAGATTGTCGAATGGTCATGATAACCAAAAAAAGTATACTTGAAAATTCCTGGATAACAACAATAGCCAAAATAGTACTGCAATTCTTTTTAATAGGGGCCACCTTTAGTGGTTCACGCCTTTTTATTGGTCATTTTTTGTTTCCAAGGTCCAAGATTTAGAATTAAAGTTACTTGTAAAATGTTTTCTCAATTTAAAAACAATACAGTAGCGAAAAATGACTTCACTTACATCACATTGTATGTTTTCTTGCACAGTAGGATGTTGAAATAATAAAAAATAATTGTTTGCATTGGCCAAAACTGATAGTGACAGACGATTCCACTTGGTTTTAAACCTTTTTCCATGGGTTATTTTCACTATTTATGATGGCATAGCAGTCAAAATAGGACAAATGAGCTCATGTATGGGACAAATTCTGGACCTCTGTCAGCGAGCGGTGGGTCTTTTAACCCACCCTCCCCCTACAGGCCTGCACACTACTCAATGGAAAATACAGTGAAAAGCTGTTTTTTTGCAAACAGAAAATTAATTCAGACAAATCCTTGTTTTTTTCCCAATCGATTCTGTATTATGGTTATCACAAATTGATGTGAAAGAGATAACATTTTCAGTAGAGCTTAACAAAGAGTTCAGTTCCTCTGAGTGTCCTTGTATGTTGTACTTCTTGGCCAAAGAAAGTCTTTTATTTCCTTTCTGTTTTTGCTTTTTTTACAAGTGCTCTTTATTGGACGAGTTTTACGGACACTGAAATCACGTGTCTTTTGTTTTGCAAATAGCACCAGATAAATGCTCGAAATGCTTTGCTATGACACCCCACAGACAATATGTCTAAACAGAAGACACTCTCAACAATTCAACAATCAGTGCTGTAAAGTTCAATAATTGCCTTCCTAAACATCATTGAAAACAACACGTTTGTGACCCTGGACCACAAAACCAAGTCCTAAATATCCATTTTATTAAACTGAGATCTATACATGACCTGATATCTAAATAAATAAGCTTTCTATTGATGTATGGTTTGTTAGGATTGGATAATATTTGGCTGAGAAACAACTGGAATCTGAGGGTGTAAAAAAATGTAAGTATTAAGAAAAGCACATATAAAGTTGAACAAATGAAGTGCTTAGCAATGCACATTACTAATCAAAAATTAAGTATTAATGTATTTACAGTAGGTGACTTACAAAATATCTTCACAAAACATGATCTATACTTAGTATTCCAATGATTTTTGGCATAAAAGAAAAATCTGATTTAATTTTGACCCATAAAATGTTCAGGGGTTGGACAATTGCCTGGTTTTAGACCACAATACTTCATTAGTATGGTGTACGGCCTCCTTTTGCAGCATCAATTCATCTTGGGAAAGACAGATACAAGTCCTGCACAGTGGCCAGAGGGATTTTGAGCCATTCATCTTGCAGAATAGTGACCAGGTCACTACATGATGCTAGTGGAGGAAAATGTTTCCTGACTCTGACCTCCAAATCACAAACAGTGGCTCAATAATATTTAGGCCTGGTGACTGGGAAGGCCATTAAATTAATAATAACAACAACAACAAAAAAATCACTGTTTAAATGGTAGACTCTTAATCAGAGTATTGTCTTAAACATATTAAAATTGAAATATTGGTGTCCATGTAAACACACCTAGTGTTTAAATAGCAAATCCATTTCCACCGCTTTGTGGACTCATGGGTGTGTTGGTCTATAAAGGAGGTGTGTTAAGGCGCATTGATGGCGCAATGCTATTTTGACCAACTAAAAGCTGGTCTTAAATCCAACGTAGAGAGAATTAGTTACGTGCCTATGTAAGGTCTAAACACTTAATATAGACAGGATGTACAGCAATACACAAATATGAAAAAAAATAAAGGATTAAAATGTTACAAAAATTATTATTTACTACATAGATATAAAAACCACTGCCCTTTTCATGTCCGGGGAGGTTTTTTCAGTTAATTTATGACAATTTGCTTTTGTATAATGGTAATATTATTAGCAGTATTATTTATTATATGCATATTCGTATTTGTTTTTAATAAAAACAAGTTTAGATTTGTCCTCCTGTCGGGTTTTGGAGACGTCTGCATCACCATATGGGGCATAAGAATAGGATGTGTGTTTGGAAACGAATTTAGAAATAGTTTTGAAACAAATCTTTGCGCTTAATAAACAAAATTAAATATGTGGGCTAATAGATGTCTTCAGTGGAGTGAGTTTCCACCAATACTTTACTACACTAAAGTAAAGGAGTAAAGTAAGGGAGTAAAGTAAAAAGGGCGAATGGAGGAGGCTCGTTCTTTATCCTCCTGCTGCAGATGGTCTTTAACTGTTTTCTCGCTAGTGAAGCGTTCAGTTGTTCCACTTACAAAGTTCGCCATGTAAATAGTAATTGTGCCATGGCGCGATGCGGCTGACTTTTAAAGGGAATGCAAGATGAGACTCTGATTGGTTTAATAAAAGATATGCTCAAAACACACCCATAACTCATAAAGAGAATAAGCACAACCCTGTTAGATTATATTTTTCCATCCTTATAATAGCAAAGGTGCATTCGGCAACACAATCTTAATGATTTTGCACCATGCGCTTTAGACTTTGCGCTTAGATCATTAAAATAGAGCCCATAATTTTGTAAATTAATACACCCATAAAACATAAGACTGGTTTTGTCATCCAGGGTTACATTTATAATAAAAAACAAAACAGAGCAACATCATAACTCCAATAATTTCCACATACTGTGTTTTTACCAGCTTCACAGTACAGGTTGACAGTGATTACCATGGGTTATAAAACATTTGCTTCATCAGAGTCACATATACATGAGTGCTAATGTTAAAAACTGTCCACTGCACAGGATGTATAACATTAGAAAGGTATTCTAATTTCAATACAATTCATTAAAACCATAGTAAAACAGCAGCAAGGCATTAATAAAAAAAATGACACCAGCTATAAACAGGACAGAAAATGTACAGTACATCAAATCATCTTTTTTCACACCCAGCCGAATAGATAAAGTAGACTATGGGACAGACCCTATAGAAAGGGGAATGTGCAATGCAAACATAGAGGATCTCCTGGCTGGTGTTAGTGTGGTGTTCGCATTACTGGCCTTTGGGCTGGCAGGTCTGGAGACGCGTTTACTCAAGAGTCTCGCTGTCCTCGGTGAACAGATCCGCCAGGTCTGCCACTGTAAACACAGAGGCCTCCGAATGCTTCATAGACGTGGAACTGTGACTGAAAAAGATGGTGGTTTAAGACATATTAGTCAAGGTCAAACAAAGAAAAAAATAAAATAAATAAAGGCAAAGACTTAGCTACTTATTAAACTACATTAGAGTAGTTTAGGCTTCTGTTGGTGTAAAAATGTATTGTTGCAATTAATGGCTGAAGCTTTTATCAACCTTTCAACACTGGGATGTGAAAATAAGGGATATGCCCAGCATAACAAGGGATTCCCCCGACCTCCCCTTTAAAAAAATCCCCAAATGACTTAATATGCTCATTTGGAGCCGTTTCATTGTAAGAGGGCACATCAATCTTTAAAAATAATAATGTGCACAAACAGGGCCGGAGTGGGACTCATTTTCAGCCCTGGAGTTTCAAGCCAGACCGGCCCACCTCAGTTCACGACTGACTATATTAAAATAAGGTCCTTTCCAATTCAGTTTCTAATGACACTGTCACGTCTTTTTCAAGAAAACAGCTGCTTTAGAAATTCAAACGTTCAAAAGCCCTAAGAGTATTATATGTCTTAACAATAAAAATGAAAAAAAATAATATATATATATTTTCCAGGTGAGATTCGAACACGGGTCGGCAGCATCATACTACAACGTGTTTACCACTAGTCCACAATAGGGTATATGCTGAGCTAGTGCTGTTCCTATGCTGATACACTTCCGGTGACCTGTTATTGTGAACTTTTTCTCATTTTATACGGTTCCTTATACAGCATTGATGTTGTAATGTCATTAAAATACATTCAGTTAAATAAACTTTAGCATTTATTTAGTTGCTCAAGCGTAAAACGAGACAAAAAGCCGTTTACTCGCACGCACCCATCAGAATCGGCAGGCTAACGCAGAAGCTCCATCGAATATACTGGGGTAAAATAAATGCTCATATAATAAAGACATGGCGGGGGAAATGTAATTTAACGCAGTGCTTCTTGTACAATCTGAGATCCACTTTAAATCGGATATCACTCAGCTAGTGGAGATCGCTGATTTTTAAAGAAAACAGACCTTAAACGCACCGGATTTTGCATTGACATTCAATTCGCCGGAAGCGCTTAACCCAGGTTACTGGCAAATTAAAAGTCCTATTAGCATGCTTCAGCATATACCCCATAGCGCTATTTCAGCAGGAATAAAAAATAAGTATTGGACTTTGACCCGCAAGACACGGTATTGCTTTCTATTTATGGCTTAATCTTTTTCTCCCCTTTTTAGATTTCTGATCAAGCTATGTCAGATTTTTAATGTAGTGAATCATCTGATTTTCATTGAGCAGGTGTATTATTCATTAATATTGATTATTCAAATTCTCGAATTCGCTGTTTGGGGTCGAATGATGATAGTTAACGTTACATCATCATTACGTTAGTTAACCTGCAGGCTGCATTTTGCTCAGGAGGCTGCAAGAAAATAAATAAGAAGAGCGGCGCTGCGGCAAAATAATAAATAAAAAGAGTGAAGCTATGGTCAAATAAATAAATAGATGAAAAAAAAGTGTGACTGCTGAGAGTGCAAGCAGCTAGGGACACCGGCCCTCATGGCCAAAAAACGGACCGGCCCACCGGGAATTCACCCGGTGCTCCCGATTAGCCAATCCGGGCCTGTGCACAAACAAATCAGTGCAAAACTTTTGATTTCATTGTGACCTTGATTTTGATATCATTTACTATAATATGGCCTCCTCGTTCATCAGGGACTCACCTCTTTTCTGCTGTTTTCAGCATGGCTTGCATCCGTTCCTCAATGGTGGACTTAATCAGAAACCGA